TCCATAACCACCAAAGTGCCCTAGGGGTACAGTACAAAACCCCGGTCAGAAGTCCCTTGCTCGACTGTCCTGGGGGAGATTCCTAACTAGAGCGACTTCAATGTTATGCAGAAAGAGTAGCAACATGTATATTCTTCTTAAGGACTGCTGCCATCTTATGAGCTGAAAACAACTATTTTCTAAACTCAGCGTGTATGCTCTCAGTATCAGGCAGTTTTACTCCAACTGTTAACAGCCCTCAACTCATTTACAATGCCCACCCAGGCATGGAGATAACGCTTACTGCTCAGAAATACAGAGAGGCTGAACCGCATACATAAGAGATACTTATTTGCTTCCCGAGAAAGCAAACACGTGAGAGCGTCCACGTGTGCGCGGGCTGATGATGCTCCTTTTAAAGGTGTCGAATTCTGAGTTGTAGGCCCAGCGGTAGAAGCACAGGCCGAGCAGGTGCTCAGCACGGAGCCTTGCTTAGTGAGGACTGAAGTACACGATGGGTAACGACCCGAGCAGACACAGGACAGCACGTCAGGTCATGCCAGGCCACAACGACTTCCAGTTTCCTATGGGTCACATCCAAAGCCGTCGCGAGGGTCTACGGGACCGGAGGTGGTCGGCAGGCCTCGGCCCCGGAGATTTCCCCGTTCCCCGCTCTTTTCCCTGAGAGCCGCATTTCTTCAGCGTTAATTGCCGGCGCTGCGGGGCTTTCCTAGTCTTCCCGGTTTGTTCGTTTTCCTCCAAGTGCTCATCACGATTATTTTACTTATTTAGTGCTTCATGGTCGTCAGTTTCTCGAAGGGCAGGGATCACATCGCTTTCCTTCTCGGGTCGGCTTCCAGCGCCTAAAACGGTAGGTAACACAGGTTGGTGAGCGAACGCGTGGATGGAGAGGGGGCGCGGGCAGAGAGGGTGCCGCGGCTTTGCGCGGGCCGAGCGCGAGCGCGCCTCGCCGGGACCCCCGGCGCCTGCGTCCTCCCGAAGGCGTACAGGCGCCCCCACGTCCCCGTGCGGGCCAGTGGCGCAATGGATAACGCGTCTGACTACGGATCAGAAGATTCCAGGTTCGACTCCTGGCTGGCTCGGGGCGCGGCGCGCTCTTTTACGTCTTTCCTCTGCACGCCGCCGAGGAGCTGCGTGGAGGTCGAAAAGTCGGGCGAAGGGAAGTCGGCCTGCAAGGTCTCCAGAGCGAGAAGGCGCCGCTTTTAGCGCAGCTGGGGTCATCACTCCTCTGCAGAGCGGGTTCCGCGTCTCGGCCCGCGGAATGTGCGCGGTCCCGGGGCACGCCCATTGCGACCGAGTTTCGTAAAGATTGAAGTCTTCCTATTGTTTTCCTGCATCTGGCCATTTTAAGGATGTGGCTTCAGGTCTGTACACTGCAAGGGTCTGGTCTGCGCTTCCCAATGGCGAGTTTGGTGTGAGCGCTCGCGGGGCCCGGAGGCATGTACCTAGAAACCACGGCCATCTGCGAGGGTGGAAGGGCGTGTTCTGCAGGGGAACTGCCTTCTGGGGCCAGCTTTCGCTGTCGCGTTTCCGTAGTGTAGTGGTTATCACGTTCGCCTCACACGCGAAAGGTCCCCGGTTCGAAACCGGGCGGAAACAGGCGCCCTCCCCGTTTTGCAACTAATTCCTTAAAATTTTGTCTTAGCATTTAAAAAAATATATCGCGTCTTCATAAACACGCTCCCCGCCTTCTGTGGTCTTGTGGCCAGGCCGTGGTGCGGAGGCGGCGCCGCCCGAGGTGGGTCGGGGTCCGGCGGCCCGGGCGGCGGCCTGACGTATCGCGAGGGGAGAAGCGGCTCTCCCCCGCTCCGACGCGAGGCGGCCGGCCGCCCGCAGCCCCGGAAGCGGTTCCTCGCCGCCCGCCGCCTTCCTGTTCCCGGCAGGGCCCGCTGCGCGCGTCTCCCCTCGGCCCCACGGCCCGCGCCGGCCCTGCCCCAGCCGAGGGCACCCGCGCGGCCCTGGCCGCAGCTGGACGGCCGCGGGACTCGGGTAAGCAGCGGAGGCCTGAGTGCGCGCCTCCCGACCGCGGGGTGGTCGGGCCGCCCCGCGCCCCGCGTGCTGGGGACCCTCCGGCCGTCGGGCCGGGCCGCGGTGAGGGCCGCCGCCCGGCGCGCCTCTCCAGGGGAGCGGTACCGCTGGCGGCCCGCAGCGCGACCCTCGGGGCGAGGCGCCCGCAGCGCCGCGGAGCCCGGAGACGCCCGGGCAGAGGCGGGGCGGCGACGAGGGCGGTGGAAGGACTGCGGCCGCAGGCCGGCGGCTGGAAGCGGGCGGGCGGGCTGGCCCGGCCTGGGCGCGGCCTCTCCCTCCGCTCGCCCCCGCTCCGTGAGGCCTCCCTTCGGGAGAGCCCGCCGGGCGGACGCCGGAGGCCCGAGGCGGGCTGCACTCTGGCCGCCTGCGCGCCCCGCCAAAAGAAAGGAAACGATCCCGAAGTTCAGCAGCGGACCAGCTGTGGGTTCCGCGTGTTGCCGCGAAGCTTGGGAAAAGTCCCCGGCAGCCCCTGTTGAAAATCGGGTCTTGAGCCCGGGTGTGTGGCCTCTGACCTCTGGCTGACACACGGCCTGCGTCCATGTTAATTGGGATCCGTCGGGCTTTTTCTGGCGCAGAAGTCTTGCTATTCCACCTGACAGCCTCGGGGATAGCCTCAGGATTTCCTTCTTAGATGTGTTGTCACGACTACTCCTACTTTTATTGTTTTTATTTCTGCTGCTACAACTACTACTTTTAGGGGTTAGCCAAGCCTAGTCTCTCAGACCCCGTTGCTCTAGGTTCCCTGAAACGACTGTTTCAGGGATGTGATGTTTTTATGGCCATGAGAAAAGAAAGGGCGATCTTTACCTAATGAGCTGTTTTTCTTTCTCTTTCTCTCCGCAGCTCCCTCTTCCTCCATTTTCATACCTTCTCAGAAAAGCCCTTGCTTTTATCATCTTGTTAATTCCCTTGTTAGCAAGATAATAATCAGCTTTGGTATGTGCTCAGTAGAAATGTATCTAAGACATTTTCATTTGAAATCTCTTCTGTACCGCCCAGAAATACAAGTGAGTTAACGTGGTGCCCTGAAAGGAGCCAGGGGTCTCAGGGGCCTGGGGGGTGTTGGGAGATGTGTCCCCTCCCGTCGCTCTGTGATGCCAGTGGGCAGGAGTACTTTAGCTGAAACCGAGTGTGCCCAAGCCAACCAGTTGCAGGGGGGTGACGGTTTCATCGAAAGCCTCTGACTCTCTGCTTCTCTTCAAATCAGGTGTTTTCTGGCAAAATGCGGAAGGAGCCATACCCTTTCAGACACTCTGCCTTTCTCACCTTCTTCTACCACCCTTCCCTCCCCCAGTCTCCCTCAATGCCAAATGGCAGCTCAGGCTGCCCACCTTGGCTGATAGATCCTTTGGAAGGTGGAGAACAAGCGGGCCCCAGATAGTGGCTGACCCCATGTGAGCCCTTGGTCCTGGGGCAGACTGCACCTTACCTACGATCTTTTATTTTATTTTGTTATAGCCTTTATCGTCTCTTTCCTAAGCTTGGCGTTAGCAGCCTTCTCCCAGACCTTCCCTCCAACCTCAAGGCACGGAGAGAAGAAGGTGGCCTTCTGACTTTGGGGTGGGATTGAGACCAGAACCCAAGTTAGAACTGTCTCCCAGAAATCCAGGTCAGTAACAGTCAAGGGAGCAAAAGGATGCTGCTAAAATGTGACTTGTACCTGTTTGCTGGGAATGGGGTGGGGTGTGTAGGATGAGGTAGGATTTGCTGCTCCATGGACACCGGAGACAGGCTTATAATGAAAGAGACAAAAAATATGGGGAGAGGATTTTGAGAGCTATGCAAAACCGCAAAATGAATCGAATCCAAGATGTGTTGTAGGTCACTAGGGTCTTTACACTCCTCCCTCCTGTGGTAGTCTGCTAGGGCTGCCATAACAAAATGCCACTGACTGCATGTCAAGAACAACAGGAATTTATTTTGTCGCAGTTCTAAAGGCTGGAAGTCCAGCATCAAGATGGTGGCAGGTTTGGTTTCTTCTGAGGCCTCTCTCCTTAGCTCACAGATGGTCACCTTCTTGCTGCCTCTTCACAGGGCCACCCCTGTGTGTTGTCTGTGCCCTCATCTATTCTTATATTGGATTAGGACCCACCCACATGACCTCATTTTTCCTTGACTACCTTTTTAAGGGCCCCATCTCCAAATACAGTCACAGTCTGAGGTCCTCGGGGTTAGGACTTCAACCTATGAATTTGGGTGGGGGGGGGGCAAATTCAGCTCACTTCTGGGGACGAAGATCTATGTATTATATATATTATTGACTGAGTTTGGAGATCTCCCAGCAGTTAACCTCGCAGAAGACTATAGCACACCTGCATCTCCTCATTTTTTTCATCATTTGCATATTTCTGTTGCAGATGAGACAGACTATTTGCTTTTTATTTGACTTTTAGGTTTTTAAAGCCACTTCTACCAGTTAAACTTCGTGGGTCTGCTTCTAATGAAAATATGCAAGTCTTCGTAGCTAACAAAAGTATTGTTTAAAAAGGATGGAGCAGATGTTCCCTCTCCCCTGAGGCTGCTGAGGGAGAGGTACCTTTCCACATTATAGAACAAGCAATCTGCTTAAATGAAGAGTTAAATTGTGAGCTTTCACAAGATTTTTGGCCCGATTCTTTGCAATGCAAGGATGAATGATTCAACACTTTTACTATTTTGTTTGTTCTGTTCTCTGTTAATATACTTCTGTCCTTGGAAGTGTTATTTTAACAAAGGGGAATTGTTAAATTCCTAAAACTTTAAAAATTGTTGCCATGTCATGATAATTTCTTGCCCTGGTGATAGCACTGAAAGTCCTTTCTCTGTATTCCCAAAGTTATAAAATTACTTATATGATTTATCTGCCAGGTCATAATATTTCTTTTCTCTCACATGCATGATAGAGTGTTTATAATCCTATGACTTCTCTATTTTATTGCCTAACAAATTATTTCCTCTTTTTTTAATTCTTAAAATCTCTGTATATTTTTAATTGGTAGACTTTATTTCTTTAAGGCCAGTTTTAGTTTTTCAGATAAGTTGAGCAGAAAGTAGTTTCTCCTATTATTAAACTTTCTCTTATTAATGACAACTTGCATTGGTGAGGTACATTTGTTACAATTGATGAGCTAGTGTTTCCACATTATTCTTTATTGAAGTCCATTGTTTATTTTAGGCTTCACTCTTCGTATACAGTTGAGTTTTGCTAAATGCATAAGGCCACGTATCCACAATTATAGTGCATACAGAATAGTTTCATTGTCTGGTACTCCACCTCCAATAATTTCTTTTCAGTTAACGCCACTGTGTGGTGAGAACGCTGTCTTCCCCATCCCTCTTTGGCCTTCACGGAAATGAAATGACTTTTTATCCCACTGGCCCTTTTTCCTTATTTGTGTATCTGTCTCCTAATTTGTAAGGTCTCTGGAGAGTCAGCCCGAGGTCTCCTGATAAGCTTCCTAAAGGTGAGTTTCAAGGAACTAATCCATATTCGTATACTCAGATACAGCATCCAGCCAGCGGCCTGTTTTCCTTGAATTTATCTTTATTGTTACTTGCTGTGTTTCGGCCTTTGACATGTGGAGATCATGGCCCCCCTGCTTGGGATGGACTGCAAGGGATCTAACATGAAGAAGACAGCCCAGGAAACAGACTGTGAGCATTCCCACACCAGGACGTGGGCTAAGAAACACAGTTTTGGAGTGAGATGGAAGGAGAATGGTATGGAGTGTCCATTCTTTAGGGAAGTGTGTCCTAGAACAAAAGCTCACCCTTTGGTTTCCTCTCTCATTCTCTGGTAACAAAAAGGCCTCTAAGAGTATATGCAGAAGGTTTAGAGTGACATTTTCATTTTTTATTCAAGTTGGCGCACTTTTGAGAGTGAATGGGAGCATTATTAATAGTTCTACCCGGGCAACAGGTATAAACCATGTCACGCTAACACTAGGCAAGTGATTTTCATGCCATAAAATATCTCTCAACGTTGGTTCCTTCATTTTAAGAGCAGCTGTCTTTTCCTACCTGTTCCCTTCTGGGCACACCTTTACCATACCCAGAGTTGACCTATGTGATATCTGGTGTCCTCAATTACTTTCTTTAAAAATTATTTTCTTTATTGTGTCAGAATTTGGATTTAAAAAAAAAAAGCCTTTTGTTGTGTAAGGATTGTTCACACATTTCTTTAGTGGTACATTTGGGAGAGAGAAAAAAGAATAAATTAGGCATAAATTCATGTAATGTCTAGGGAAGCGTGTCCTTGGGAGAGGGCAGGTTGAGTCTACTGGATCATTTGAACTACAGCGCGTGTCTGTGGTAACAGGGACTTTTCAGTTCTCAGGCATTTAAGATATTTAGAGGCAACGGAAGAGAAGAATCCAGCTAATTTCACATTAGCTTTTCAGTGAATTGCTTTCAGCATGAGAATAGAAGTGTTTCTCTTCGCAATTTCCATCTGTTCGCAAAGTTTCTTACAAGGTACCAAGAGAAAAATACACACTGATTCAAGGCACTTTGCTTCTCCTTTCTTCTTTATACTAACACACTTCTCCCTCTATTACACAAGAAGAAAGGAGAAAAATGCAAAATTTCCAGTAATTCTAGTCATGGTGAAAAATTGGGGAGAAAAATAGATAATTTGATGTTTTAGCACCACGTATAGGTGGATAAAAATCAAAACCAAGTTTGCTCAAGGATCATGTATCTACATAGTGAGGTCCAGCAAAAACAAAACAGAGCAAAATAAGACTCTGGAGGAATTTAGGAATGAGAGAATAATTTTTTTTTTCTTAAAATAAAATATTGTGGAGTGGGACAGGGCATAGGATTACAGAATTCCCCAGAAAATGTTCTCAAGGGTGGGGCAGAGATGTAGCTAGTCTTGGCCTAAAGCCTTAAGAAAGTTCACACAGTGCTTGTGAATGCCAGCCATCGGCCCAGGTCCTAATTACCCAAACTCAAAATAAATCACTTTCCATTCTGTGTATCCCTAAATCTGTGCTTTGGGCTACGTACTTTTTTAAAGTAGTTTTTTATTAATTCTTGAGCAGAGACATCTGTGTAGAATCTAGAGAATAGTACGTCAGCTATGTCCCCCCTCCTCCCCACCTCCCCCTCCATTCAAGGGAGAAAATGCTACCCCCCCATCCCTTTCCTTGGATCCTCTTACCCTCTCCAACCACCATCCCTTTCTCAGCCCCCTTTTATGTGACTACTGTCCCGATTTTTATCTTTATCCCTTGTTTTTTTTTTTTTTTAGTTTTACTACATGCTTGTAGCCTAAACATGTCGTTTACTTTTATACTTGTAAGTGGATCTGTACTGTACATATTTTGCAACCTGTCGTTTTTACTCAACAGTATGTTCTTGAGATTCATCTGTGTTTTTGCATGTTGCTGTAATCTATTCATTTCTGCTACTGAATAGCATTCCCTTGCAGAGATGCTACTAAACCTATTTATTCTGTTATTGAAGGCCAGTGGGTGGTGTCGGGTTTTGAAATTACAGAGTCACCAGAAACATTCTCGCAGGGATTTCCTCTGCACATCTCCCAAGAATTCCTCTAGGGAAATACCCAGAAGTGAAATTGCTTTTCAGAATGTTTTCAAATTTAATACACTAATTTATACATACAGAAACACACGTCCCAGCAATGTATAATGTTTCAATTGTTGCACATCTGCTGAGCCCTTGATTTTGTCAGACAATTTAGTTTCCACCAATTTGATGGTTGTAAAGTGTTAGTATGCGTTTGTCATATTACTGATGTGGTTGAGCATACTTTTATGTGCTTATTCACCATTTATACTTCTTCTAAGAAGTACTCATTAACGCTTTTGCTTGTTTTAAAATGTTCCTTTTGTTCTTTTCTCATGGATCTGTAGAAATTCTTTATATATGCTGGATTCAAATCCCTTGTCACTTATATGTGTTATGAGTGTCTTTGCCCAGCTTGTGACTTACCTTTCTACTTTTTTATACTATCTTTGATCTGCACAAATTATTCATTTTAATGTAGTTAAATTTGTCATTTCCCGTTATGGTTGACACTTTTTGTGTTTGTTAAAGAAATCTTTCTAGAAGCAGTGTGAGGAAGACAGAAACCGTCCCCCTCCCTGGACTGGCCAAGCCACCGGCCCAGCGCTGCTACCACCATGCCCAAGAGAAAGGCAAAAGGCGATGCTAAAGGTGACAAAGGGAAGGTGAAGGATGAGCCACAGAGGAGATCGGCACGCTTGTCTGCTAAACCGGCTCCTCCAAAACCAGAACCCCGGCCCAAAAAGGCCCCTGCGAAGAAAGGAGAGAAGCTGCCCAAAGGGAGAAAGGGAAAAGCGGATGGTGGCAAGGAGGGGAACAACGCTGCAAAGAACCTAGATGCTTCCACAGTCCAGCCACAGAAAGCAGAAGGCAGTGGGGATGCCAAGTGAAGTGTACTCTTTTTGATAGCTCTGTACTTCTAGAGACTCTACTGTTCGAAATACTATTTTTCTTTAATCAAGTTTTATAAAAATGTAGAATTTGGGTTTGTTTTTTTTTTTCCCCCCAAACTTATGTTGTTAGCATACAAGACACGTTGTTTTTTGTGGTAAGTGCAGATACCACTAATAGAATGTCTCAGAAGCTGGACTGAAATGGGGAAGATGGGATCTTCTGTCCTTGTTTTTGAAGATTATTCTTGGCTCCCAGGAGAGATTCTCTGACTTTCACACATGTCAGCCGCTTTGGCTTAGAAGCCTTACAGCATAGAGAAGCAAAACTTCATGTCTTCTTTCCTGATGCCATCAGCGTATACTTGACTTCCTGAAATAGTTGTGATGTGGCCTTGGCCCCCCTAAAATCCTGTGTCGGGTAACAATACCCAGGCTTTCTGTTGATAACATCGAGATGGTGTAGCCCTAAAGAGCCAAGATTCCTGTTTGTAGTTGCTGGATCATCCCATTGATAATCTTAAGAGTTTTTAGTCCCTTTCTTCCATGTCCGAGTTGACCTGTGAAAGATCTTACATGCCTCTTGTGAAATACCCACCCCTTCTGAGAACTCCGCCTTTTCAAAACAGCAACAGAAGACTGTTGACTTTTGGGGAAGGGGAGTTTGAAAGTTGTAAAACGTTATGGATTGTCAACTATGTCCTCCTGGAAGTAACTGGTTTTGAAAAGTATCTGATAAAGCTGAATACAAATTGGCTTGGTGGTAGGGGGATCATTTCCTACCCAAAGTCATAGAGATATTCTTTACTGCATTGTAAACATTTTATAGTCTTTTCACATTTGTCTTTAGTCTGCTTTGAACTGATTTTTGTGAAAAGTAGGAGATAGAAGTTCAATATAATATTTTTCCCATGTGGGTAAGTGGTGGTTGTCCCAGCACCATCCTCTGAATACTTAATTCTTTCCCACTGACCTATAACACCAGCTCTTTCATAAATAAAGTCTCTGTGTGGGTGGGTCTGTTGATGATTTCTATTCTGACTCACTGGTCAGTTTGTCTAACCTTGTGGCAGTACTATACAACCCTGAGTACTACAACTTTAGAAAACAGTTTGATATCTCAGGACAAATCCCACCTCCAAAAAAATTACCACCGAATTTTTCTTCCTCGGGAGTGTCTTGGCTATTAGCCATTTGCTCTTCTGTACAACTTTTGAATTGGATTGACAAGTTCTAAAACAAAACAAAAATGTTGGAATTTTTATTGGATTTGTATTGAATTTATAGACTAAATACGATGTTGAGTCTTCCAATCCGTGAACATGATATACTTCTCCATTTATTTAGCCTTTTTAAATGTCTTTCAATAAAGTTTTATAATTTTCTCCATAAATGTCTTTTGTTAATATTTCCTAGGGACTTTATGCTTTTTGACGCTACTCTTACAGTATATTTTTGGTTACTGCATTTTCTGTTTTTAGCTAAAGTTGATGTTTATACCTATCAACCTTGCTAAACTCTCATTAATAAGTCTGTATGTTCTTTTGGGTTTTCTACATAGGTAAACCATGTATTATATATGTGCAGACAATTGTGTTGCCACACAGTTTTATTCCCATTTTTACTCTTTCTAATGCTAGGCATTGTCCAAGTGCTGGGGGCACAGCTGTGAAAAAACAAACTCTCTGCTTTCACCAAGCTTATATTCCAGTTGGGCCTGGGGGAAGAATTAGAAAATACACAGATTTATGTGAGGAGGGGCCTTAAGTAAACAAGTAAAAGTGGGTGCTATTTCGATACGGTGGTTAGGGAAGTCCTCCATGATGAAATGGCATTTGAGCAGAGAACTTAATGAAATAAAGGAACAAAAGATGTCAATATGTGGCAAAAGCACTCCAGCAGATAGGAGGTGAAAATGTGTTTGGCTGTTTGGCTTGCTGAGGAAGAACAAGGAAGCAGAAGTGACTAAATTGGAAAGAAGATGGATAAAGGTGATAGTTGATATGATTGCAGAGATAGCCAGGGGCCAGGAAATGGAAGACTCTGCAAGCCGTAAGTTTTCTCTGAAAGTGACAGGATACAATTAGAGTTCCCAACAGAGAGCATCATCTAAGCGTTGGGGTTGGGAGTGGGCAATAGGCTGTCAAGGGAGGGCAAGAGTTGAAGGAGGAAGACCAATTAGCTGAATTGCAAGAAATTCTACTTTATCATGCTGTATTGCTGTCCTTCCCTCTGTTCAACTATTCCCACCCCATTTTCTTTGGTAAACAGCAAACATGTATCTGTGCTTTCTCTTTGCTAAGCAACGGGTCAGGACCAAAGAAAAACACTACCTGTCCTCAGAGGCCGAAGTTAAATGCAATAAAGTCACCACACAGTACTGTGCTTAGTGTGGTGGTAACACTGCAGGAGCCCTGCCCCTGATGCCAGAGCATAAAGCGGTTTTAGGGAGAACTTCCTGGGTCATTTTGACACCGAAGCAGCAAAATGAAAACAGGAGGAGTTGGTCGAGCAAGGAAGGAGTGGGGGAAAGCCTTCTAGTAAGAGTAGTAACATGCAAAGATAATAAGAGAATATGGTGCATAGTAGAAGTTCAATAAATTGTTGAATAAAAAAATGATTTAAATGCATAAGCAAATTCTAGTAGGTTTTTGTTTTTGTTTTACAATAATAAGGTATTTCTTAAGTGGTCATTGTTTGCCAATGGGTTTGGCATTGGCCAAAAGAAACCGGGTTTCTTTTATTGTGCGCCCTGAAGGCTGGGTTTCTCTTCTTTCTTTTACCGGGGCCGGAAGCAGGGTTTCCCGCCTTTTCTTCCCACTTGCTCAGGGCTTTCCCGTCGTGGCGCCGCCACCGTGGGCCTGTCCGGTGGGATCCGGCCTCTCGTGGATGCTGCCAGCACAGGCCTCTGGCCCTCCCCACAGCGGGCCGCGGCCGCCTCCTTGCGGGCCTCCGGGCATCCCGTCAGGGCCTCACTGCCTACTCTAAAAGCGCCATCCTCAGCAGTGCTCACAGTGATCTCTGCAACACCGGCGCCAGGCCGCCTCAGCACCTTGCACGGCTCTGCACGTGGCTCCGCCACGTGGAACCCGAAGGCCCACCCGCATCCGCCCGGGGCGCGGCCGGAAGAAGCACTTCCGGCCCTTCTAGGCCCTTGGGAGGCCTCAGCTCTCGGTGTCCCGGGCCCCTACCCAGGAGCGCGGCGGCCTGACGCCAGCTGGGTAAGGGAGGCTGGGGCAGGGAGGCGCCTTCGCTGTATTGCTGCTCAGACCCCTCGCAGCCTTGCTCAGGCTGGGGGTTCCGGGCGCTCACCCCAAGGCCCCTTCGGTGAGGGGCTTGTCGGAACCCCATGTCTCTTGGTGTGCGGCCTCTGCCTCTGTTCGTTTCCCCGGGGGCCTCTGGCCTCATGATGCAGCCCGTGGAGCCCTTCACAAGATTATAGTCTAAAAAGCCGTAAAAAATACACAGAATGACCAAAAAAAAAAAAAAAAAAAAAAGCCAATTATACCACAAAACAGTTACCAAACAAGTAAAGTAACATTGCGTTAACGTATTGAATATTAAAGGACAAGACCCGTCTTGGGACCACCGTAATGCCGAACGAGGAAGAACGAGGTACTGATGTGATGTGATGCGGGGGTCGGGAGCGAACGGCCAAGAACGAATTCTTGAGACGTTTTCGGTTCAAAAAGGTGTTTTTATTATAGCACAGGGACGGGACCCGTGGGCAGGAAGAGCTGCAGCTGTGATTTTGAGGAGAGACTGATGATAGGCTTTTAAGTTTGTGGAGGGAGGGAAGGTAGACAGTTGCAGGGATTTCTGTCTGCTGAGAGCAGGGTCCCCAAGCCCTTGGAGGTCTGGCTCTTGTTAAGATAAGGTAGCTTTAGGTTTTTAATAAGGCAGCCCTGAGTTCCTTGAGGGATGTCAGGCTCTGCGTGTCTCAGGTGTTTATCAGTGGGCTGCGGGTTGTAAGGAGATTTAATTTAAGCTGCATCTTTGTTCTCCTCATCAGTGCGAAAATGTCTGATTTTCCTTGGTGACAAAAGCACAGGGTCTTCTGACTGTAGTTTGTTCCCTACATTCGTACGTGAAGGGTATGCCAGATTTCAGTTCAAGGTTAGAGATTTTGAAGATGGAGCTATTTTTCCCATCCAAGTTCACCAGTCCTCAAGTTAAGACTCCCTGCAGAGGTGCTGACCACAGTGTCCGGATCATTGAGCACCCCCCTCCTCCCAGAGACGGAGATATTGGTGATTTAACTGTTAATTTTCTTGTACCTGGTGACATTTCTTATAGGTGGCCATGAGGAAGTTTTGAGAGAGCACAAAAATAAATCAGAATTTACCCCTTCATTTGGTCATTTTTTAAATTTATTTTTTTCTGAGGTACAGTTGACATGTAATGTATTAGTTTCAACTGTACAACATAATGACCCGGTATTTGTGTACATTGTGAAATGATCACCACAATGTCTGGTGAACATCTGTCCCTTTACATAGTGCCAAAAAACTTTTTCTGTGTGATGAGAACTTTCCAGATTTACTGTCTTAGCAACTTTCAAATATGTAACACAGTATTGTTAACTATGTTAATTTTAGTTACTTATATATATAACTAAACATATAATATGTACTAAATATATAACATATCTATATTTACTTATACGTATGAATTCACTTAGATATGAGTGCTAAAGAATGCTGTCCACACCCTTCCTTCCCTGAAGGAAGAGGAGAGCGTGGGGTTGATGAGTGCCAGGAAATGCAAAGGGTCTGAGACTTTACCCAGCTTGCAAGCTAAACTTGCCACACACAGTTTCACGGATGCTGGTGTAACTCACAAGACTCCTGGGGTACGGACAATGGAAAGTCTATTATTCTAGTAATAGCGATAGCCAGACTCTCAGCATTTTTTCTCTGGTTCCCTGGCTCTAGTTCTCAGAGAGCAAAACCACGACATCTGTACATGCAGTGGGTTCTAAGAGAGAAACCCTAAACAATGGCTCTCTATTCTTTTATAATGAGCAGTAAGCGTGCCTGCCCATCACTCTGGAGAGACTCTCTTCCAGGAGTGTTTGCTATATAAGTATCCTTGAAAAGAAAATCCGGAACAAAGAGCTCTTAGAACCTTGCTTAGCAATACATGCAGAAATGTGAGAGATTCGTGAAGGATTATGTCCCAACAATGAGTTGCTGTCACTCATTGAAGTTTTTTTGTTTTGTTTTCTTTCTTCTTCTTCTTCTTCTTCTTCTTCTTCTTCTTCTTCTTCTTCTTCTTCTTTCTTCTTTCTTCTTTCTTCTTTCTTCTTTCTTCTTTCTTCTTCTTTCTTCTTCTTCTTCTTCTTCTTCTTCAAGAAGCATGGCCTGGGAAATTTAAATCTGAATGTTTGCCTAAACTCACTTGCCCAATAGAAGGGTAAATGACCCAGGGAAACTTCTAGTAGCTTTTTCCTCTGGGCACCCACCTCAAGGTAGCTGGGTTTCTTGAGTGGTGGGTGCCAGCCACACATTTGGCTTTGTCTGGTAAAGCAAATGATTAGCACTAGTTAATGGAGGTTAATGGACACAGGTTTAGAGATCGGGACAATAGTGTAGAATGTAAATACAATGTGTCTGTTTCCTTAAAGCAGTGCCATCTTTTAATGATCTAATATATATGTCCCTTGCCTCCTGGAATTGGAGTAATATTCTTGGCAAGTCTCTCAGTCGACCAGTTGCAACCAGGTGGACTCCTGTTGTTGGAGTGCAGATAACAGTGCGGTAGGGCTGGGGTTCAGCCCATTAGGATCCAGAATGGAAAAGTGGAAATGGTTGTCGTCTCCTTCTGTCTCACGCTTCCCCTCAAGACTGAGAAAAGAAAGGGAGTCTTTTAACTCTCATCTAACTATGCACACTGATATATTGGTAAGCCCTTTGTCGTCTTGAACAGTGTAGCCGCTCACCGTTGATTATTTTACTGCTTAGCACAGTCTCTGAGACCATGTTGGGATCATTTTGGAATTAATATTCAATTTTGTGACTCCCTCCCACTGCTTGTTTTTAAAAGGTTGTGAAAGACAGTTGCCCTGTTCTGTTTAATTAAAGTTAATGGAGATTTCTTTCCTTTCGAAAAAAGCTCTGAGCATTGTAAAGAAACCATGGGGTCACAACCCAAGTGGACTGCCTAACAGGCAGGAAAAGCTTTCATGAAGTGATGGGCGCTTCAAGAAGATACTGTTCCCGTGACTCTAATAGCAGTAACAGTCATGATCGCATTGGGTTACTTCTGCAGTTTGGGTTCTTTTTTCCTGCAAAATGCTATCCTGTCTCTGAGGATTGAGCTCAAGGCCCTCATATTATGAGGCCGACATGCTGCCTACTGTGGCAACAAGGCAACTGACAAGGGTGTTCTGTC